AGAGCCTTATGGGTCCTCTTTTGACATCAAGTCTACCCAGTGGGCAAAGTTAGCAGTTGGACACACCTGCCCTGAACTTCAGGAGTGCTTGGGTGTGACTGCAACAAGGCCATAAGTGACAACTTCTGGGGGCACTGACATCCTGCAGTGTGGCCTTTAGTGAGGACTTGGAGGATGTGGCTTTGGGCAGGGGGGACCTCTCTGCAGACTGGCTGTGTATAAGAGGCTTGGGTCCGGACAGAGCTGGAGCTGCAGAAGGCCCACGTGGAGCATGGAGCTAAGATGTCTCTAGAGCTCCCCTAGTGTTTGATTCATTCCACTTCAAGTTTCACCAAGCCGCTTTGAGTTGGCATCATGGGCCTGGCTTTATTCTTGGGAACTGATAATTCAAACAGGTACGAGGTCACCTGGCAGATGGGGTGTCCTGGGTGAGAAAGCAGGCCAGAGTTAGGAGCCAGAGCCCCACCGTTACCTGGCCCCTCATCCTGAGCCTCAGTCCCCATGTGCTTATATCCTCCTTAGGGTCTTTGTGAGCCAGCAGGTGAGTATGATCCTGTCAGTCCCCACTGTGGAGCACTAGGAATCCCGCTTCCTCTGTTCTGCAAGGTCTGCTGCCTGCCTTGGGCCACCTTTCATCCTCCAAAATCCACTGGGCACTTCCTGCCCCAACTGGCATCTATATCTTTTAAAGGAGGGAGCAGGTGTTTTCACCAGAGACTGCCTTTGTTCTTCAGGGGATGAGAGGAAGGCCCAGGTACCCAGTGTCCCTAATATACTCCTGCCTCTGAGTTGGCTTCTGGTCGGAGGTGTGGCTCCACTAGACCTGGAAGGACCCTGGGGCTCAGACAGCTTTTGCCCATCCCACTAGGGTTCTCATTTTTTCTCCTTCAGATTTCTCCCTTCCCTTCCCTTCTCTTTCGTCTCTCCCTCCCTCCCTCCCTCCCTTTCCTTCCTTCCTTTCTTGTGCTAGGCATAGAACCCAAGGCTCCGCAAGTGTTCTACCACCAAGCTACACCCTCAACCCTCTCCTTCAATTTTCTTAATGTAATTGTTTTGTACTTATGTACAGAGAAATGCGTAAGTCAGAATGTTCAGCTCTGTGATTTTTTTTGTGTGTGGGATAATAGGCACCCATATTCAGCTCCCTGGCCCCTCGGCCCCTCCCAGCCCCTTCCCTCTAGTCTGCACCTCCCAGCCTCCCCATGGAGTAGGTGCCTTTGCCATGCTAGATATGGATGGGGTCCTACTTCAGTATCTGTGCCTAGTTTTTTGAATTCCACATCATGGTGGTGAGACTTGCCCTTGTGTATGTATGTCTGTCATTGTTTATCCTTCTCTTGGAATGTTCCATTGGCCAATTCCAGCTTGGCAGGAATCTGGTCTTCTGTGGAGGACGCCTGGGTCCCTTGTGCAGAGCTGATGTGTCTCTTCTTGTGAGTCTGTGAGCATTTCTGCCAGGCCTACAGGGCCAGGGTGGAACTCCTGGGTCTGCACATGCTCAGCTCTCATAGGCATGGTCAGCTGTGTTTCCATGTGGCTGTCCCAGTGGCGGAGCACCAGCAGCTGAGAGTTTCAGTTGTGCCACCTCCTCATCAGCACTTGGCATTTTCTGCCTTTTCAATTTTGCATTGCAGTGGGTGTCCAGGGATTCCACCGTGTGGTTTTAATTTCCCTCCCCCTGATGACTAATGAAGTTGAATGTGTTTCCTTAGGTTTATTGCCCTTTTGTGAAGTATCCCTTCATGACTTTTGCCCACTTAAAAAAATTGGGTCTTCTGACTTTTTTGACATTCTCAGTTCTTTATTATTATGTATATGAGTCCTGTGCTGGATATATACACCTATATCTATATCTATATTCACATTCCATATCTATAACCTTATCCCTATCCATATTCCTATTTAATTCTATTTATATCCATATTCATATTTCTATCTATATTAATATTCCTGTCTACATCTGTACCCATATTCCATATCTATATCCATATCCACATCATATCTGTATCCAAATATATATCCCTATTACATTTGTATATGCATGTACATATCTATATCTATGTCCTTATCCATATTCTTATCCATACCTATATCAATATTCTTGGCTATATGCATATCTGTAGTCATATATATATCCATATCAATATCTGCATCTACATCCATATCCATATACCACATCTATATCCTTATTCCACATCTTTATTAATATCCATATTTGCATATACACAGACATGTGCATACATGTATTACACAGATAGGCATTGAGTGCTTATATGTGTGGAAATGTTAGTCACTGTGTTGTAGCAGTAAACAAAGATCCTGTCTTCATGGAGTTCACATTTTTTTAGGAGCAGGCTAACAAGGGAGTGTCAGATTGAATAACCACAAGAAAAAATGTTCAGTGGAGAGGAAGAATTGCTAGGGTAGAAGGAGACATTGTAAATATGTCACTGGAAAGGTGACAGAGACCAAGGTCTCTGAGTAGCAGAGACCTGAGGGAGAGTATCCACAGACACCAGGGGAAGTATGTTCCATGCCAGGACTGAGCAGTGAGAGCTGAGGTCTCAGGTGGGAGTGGGTCAGTACAGCTGCTGAACTCTGGTTTTGATTATGATCAGGGCAGGAGACATTGGAACTTGTGGACAGAGGAGGGATGGGACCTGACTCAGATTGTAATGGGGATCCTTTGCTTGCAGTGTTGGGGTAGCAAGTGCTGACATTTATTAGGAATCTGCTGCTATGGTCCAGCCTCTGATCCTGCACTCATGGGGATATACTGGGCCACTGTTATCCCAGAATGAGGATTTCCAGCCCTTCTTCAGAGGTGCCTCTTATGGTTAAAGATGGAAACACTGTTCCAGGTCTCATGTCCAGCCCCTGTTGCCTGGAGGAAGGAGGGGGTGTCTCCTATGTATCTTATCTTTCCAGAAGTCCTGGCAGAAGTCCACTAGCCACACCAGACTTTGCTCATTCTCTACTTTCTGAAGCTGATGAGGACAGTGGAGGTCCCACATTAGTCTTCACGTGCCCTCCCAGAAGGATAGTCCCACCCACAGCTTCAAGTAGAAGGAGAGCTGGCAGGGGTCAGCTCCCCTGTCATCAGACCTTGGGCACAAGGAAGCCTGAGGATCAGATGTACACATGAATGCTCAGGTTATACTTGTGAGCAAAGGAGACAACTCTGTCTGCCAGAAACCAGGACAGAGGTGCTCTCTTTTACTCCAGGAGAAGCATCTTACCTTTTTGAGGTCCTTGGGCAATACTGGTGATATCTGTTGATGGGAAGCGACTGGAACAGTATAGGAAGACAACAGGGGCTAAACACCCATCACCCTCCTCTAGATTGTCATGCTCAGAGAGGTAGAGGGGAAGGCTTGCATGTAGCAGCAGGGCTGTTGACTGTCCACATAGACTTCCTGAGGCAATGCCATGACCATCATAGGGGCCAGAGATCCTGCAGGGTCATGGGACAGGAATGAGGAAAGCAGGGGGAGGATGCCTAAAATTTACCCCAGAGGTAAGACTAAGACTCTAGGTTTTACCTCTCTTGGAACTCCAGAGTGGTCTGAAGAGATGGGATGGCCATGTATGCCCAAGGGCCTGAAGGCCCAGATGTTAACCACTAGTTAACAGCAGAGGCCACTGTGAGCTTTTATCTGTTGGATGGCTTGAAACAATATGCCATGACAGAATGGGGAAGAGGACAGTGTGAAAGTTGGTGGTGGAGGAAGTGGTGGAGATGGTGGCTGCACCATTTCTGCCTGGAGTTTTCCCCTAACTGCCCACTTGTAGGGTGCTGTATCATGAGGTAAGAATAGTGCATTCTCTGGAGCCATGAGAAATGGGGTCCAGCCCCAGGACTAGCACTGACAGAAATAGAGGAGGTCAGCAAATGGACCCAGCACAGTCCTGAATTCCTCAAGACAGAAATAACTTTCCATCAAGACAGCCTAGTGCCTAATTGTGCTTCTGGTAAGGGAGCAGACAAAGGAGAAGGAGGAACTGGGAGGAGAGGTATCTGTCCTGAAGGCTGCCAGGCACAGAGCCTGCAGGGGGTGGGTGAAGGATGTGAGTTCTCCTGAGGTTGTCTTGGCCTCTCTCTGGGCATCCCCTGTTCTTCTCTGTACCATTCAAGTTGAGAGCATCCTTTTCCTCCCTAGTGGTCCCTCAGGCTGCCAGCTCTGCCTTCCCCAGAACCTGGCTTCAGCTCCCTCTCTGGTTTAGTCTCTGCTTCTTTAATCCAGACTTCCCGGCAGGTTGCTCCTTGGCTGAGTCTGGTTTCTGCCATCCAGAGTCTCAAGAGCTAGGGTTGGGGCCTCAGAACACGGTGGAAGGGAAACCAACCACCTGACAGGATTTCTTCTGAGTGCTGGGAGTCTTGGGCGCGGGAAGACACCTCACTTTGCCACCTACCTCGGGGATCCTTGGGGTCTCTCAGATTAGCCCTCCCGCAAAAGCAGCTGCTTGTTCCCGGTGTTCACTCAAGGAAATGGAAGGACAGCGAGTTCTGTGAAATGCTTCAGGCCAGAGCTGTGGGAAGCGAGTGCCCGGTCGCGGGGGGCATTCAAACCTAATGCTGCCTGACACCTGCTGTAGCTTTGTTGGGATGTCTATGATGAGGTGAGGTTGGGAGTGGTAAGAGAAAAAGAAAAAAGAAAAGAAGGAGGAGACCGGGGCGCTGGAGGCCCTAGTGAGCCGGATGTCACCACCACTACCGCCTCCCCCTGCGCTGAGTCCCAAACGGCATGATGCTCCCAAACTTAACCTCAGGACCATACGCCCTGTCCACACGGTGCCCTTCTCTGAGCGACCCCCAACCCCGTCCCTTGCTAGCAGCGTCGGCGGCTCCGCTGTTCAGGGTCGGGTCAGTGCAGTCGCTCTGCGGGCTCCGCCCCTGGGCCAGCCCCGCCCCTCCGCCTGGAGGTGGCTTTGAGGGCGTGGGGAAGTCCACCAACTGGGGGTCGGGAGGCGGGCTCCAAGCTGCCGGGAGAAGAGTCTCCAGCAGTCCGACGCCTGCCGGGTCGGGGACAATACCTGGAGCAGGCAGCCAGGATGTTTCTGGAACCCCAGGTAGGGCTGCGGCTTGTGGCAGGCGGAGGGCGGCAGGGCAGGGAGGCGTGGTCCTGGGCGCGCTCGCAGGGCAGCGCCTTTTCTACCGCAGGACTGCGCGCTGGGGTTCCTGCGCCACTAAGCTCGGGAAGCCGAGCATCTGTCTTTGACAGGGCTGGGGAACCACTCTCTCTAGGTGTCTCCACTCGCTCGGCGGGCCGCGCCCAGGCTGCCGCTGCTTTCCTGGCTTTGCCTGCTGATGCCGATGACTGCCCATGCTAGAGCAGCGTCGGCAAAGCTGGGAGGGAAACAGGTGATGGTGAGGGGGGCTGCTCAGCGCAGGCACTGTCAGGTTCGCGAGGAGTTGGGACGACTCTGGATCCTTTCCCGGAATCGAGGGGCCCCAGAACCACCTGTTTGGCCCAAGGAGGAGGTGCCTGGAGAGGGGGTGGTCTGTGATGAAGTGGGCACGTGGGAGGTGTGTATGCGTGTATGTGTGATGTGTGGGCGAGAGTGAGGGCGTGTTTTATATATGGGATGTGTGAGTGAGAGTGAGAGCAAGGGAGAGGCGGTTGTGAGGGCAGGGTGGTGCTTGCAGGAGTCCACCTTCCCCTCCCTGTCAAGGCAGATGTATTTAAAGAATGGAGCCCAGCAGTGGGTTTTCAAGGACCATGCTCCAGAGTGAGGAGCCCTGCAGGGAGGAAGCTGAGAAAGGTCCTGGCCTTATTCCTGAGCATGGAGCACTGTTGAATTTCTCCAGCTTTGAACCATGCTGGGCAGTGTGACTCAGGTGCAGCTTTGCTGTCCCCAGCTTTCTAAGCATGGAACAGTTGTGCTCAGACTGCTAGCAGAGGCCCAGTGCAGAGAGAAGACAGGCCCAGTTGCAGTGGCCAGCAGGACTCATTTTTCCTTTCATTCACTCATTTACCTACATGCATTTATTGAGCACCTGCTGTGTGCAGGTCCTGCAGTTCAGCAGGGACCAAGCACACCAAAGTCCTTGTCCTCATGTGGCTCACCCAGGGAAAAAAGAACAGTCAGTAAGTAAAATTCAGGAAATGTTATGTGATTAAGAGCTAAAGGCAAAAAGTGAAATGGGAAAGAGGAATAAAATATACCCAAAGTACATCAGTCAGAATAGTTTGTATTATTCTGTAGTAATAAAGCAACCCCCCAAGTCCAGTAGCTTATAATGACACAGTGTAGTTTTCATTCATGTAATGCCTGTTGAGAATTGACTGAGTCCTGTCCCACGTGGGCCTCACTTAGGGACCAGATGACAGAGTCTCATGGCAGGAACCAGAGAGAGCCCTCAGTGTCATTTAAATGACTCAGTCCAGAGTGACAGGTCACTTGACTCAATGCTTGAGAGCTAGAGGGCTCACACAGTCCCATCTGGGACTAGTCATGACAGCCTTGTTCGCCTTGGCAAGCAGGGGTCTGATACTTGGTACCCAGAGTGCTGATCACCCTTGTGGGATGGTGTTTATACCTTAGGTAGGATGGCCCTGGGAGGCCTCAGAGGTGTGATATGTCCATAAGAACTTAACAGGGAGGAACAGCAGCCAGCTGTGTGCATGGGCTGGGGATAGCAGTTGGCGATTACAGTGGAAAAGGGGACAAATCAGGGACTCAGAGGACTTTGGAGGTAGCAGAGGAGGGAAGAAGATTCTGACACATTTAAAGGAAAGCCAGAGGCCTTGCAGTTGTCTGGATATGGCACTGGAGATGGAAGGAGTTGGGCTGGCCCCAGGGAGAAGATTATTGCCACTGGCAGAGGTGGCAAGGGTGTAGCAGGTACTACAGAGGCAGGCAGTGAACAGGGGACACGTTGATATGAGGTTTTGCCTGGCAGGGGTAGGCAGTCAGGAGAGGTCTGGGCTGGATTTGCTACTTTGGAGCCAGGTGTATTCCATCCTGCAGGCTCCTTGCCACCTCCAGGCCATAGGCAGTGTGCTCCAGCTGTCTCAGATAGTGCTTTCCTGGGCCCCACCTGGTGGGGCCTGACTGCTTGGGCTCCTTTCTGAGTGAGCTCCCCAGGAGAGGCAGGGTGAGGATTCTGTCCCTGGGGAGTTGGGCCCCCAGGACCGAGAAGGAGAGGGGAGCCATAGCATCTAATGACAATGGCCCCCTGAATGTGCTTTCTAGGTTCTAGCTCTGCCTGGGCACAGAGAGCAGTGGAACAGTACAATCCACAGCATTACACACCCCGAGCCCACAGTGGCAGCGTCCATGGGCAGGGAGGGGTAGTCAGGAAGTCTGCCTGGGGGAAGAATCATATCCTCATGGGAAGGGAGAGCTGGCCTGCCTATGGAAGCTGCCTGCACTGCCCACACTTTTGGGCAACTTGGGTGTGGCCTTCCAGGGGAGCTGTTGGAGAGTGACCACGGGAAAGTTGAGTCTGTAAGAAGACCAAATTGTTATGTCTCCCTGTTCTTCCTTCCCTTAATCCACTGGAAACTCCCCTGGTTATATTTGGAAGCCCACCTCAAAATCACCTCTTCCAGGAAGCCCTCCCTGACTTTCCCTTTCACGGTTCATTCCCTACCCCTGTGCCTCCACGCCACCCAGCAGAGACCCTTAATGCCAAGGAGATCCTGCTGTGATGTGATGTGAAGACTTGTCTGTCTGGCAGATGTGAAGGAACACGAGCTCTTCTGTTCAGTCTTATGTGGCATAGACTGGGAGGCTTCAGTGGATGTTTGTTGACTGCATAAGTGAGGGAAGGAAGGAACTAATAGGAGAGTTGTAAGTGGCTTGTATAGAGTGGCTAGTCCTGCCTCCATGTTTTACATATGGGAAACTGAGGCTCAGAGGGGTTGTGACTTGCCTGAGGTCAGCCAGGAAGTCAGGGGTCAGACCTAATTCCCATTCCAGGCTGCTTCTGCTATGCCAGGTTATGGGCTGCCTGGGTCCTTATGGGTTCCAGACAAGGCAGGGAGGGCTCAGAGGCAGACAGGTTTCAGCACCCTCCAGGGCTCCCAGTTGAACCTGGAGTCAGTTGGGGTATGAGGATGACATCGGGTCTTGGGAAGGGGAAGGCAGCCAGGAACTCTGCAGGCCCTGAAGTCCTGGCCTGCCGCCATACCCACTGTCCAGTGGAACAACCCCGCCCCCGCTGTCCCGTGCCTTCCTGGCTGGGCCCAGCCTCTGGCATTTCCCAAATGTCAGTGTGGCTGCCCTGTGAGCCACCCCCTGTCCTGGGGCTGGTGAGTGTGAGTCAGAGAACTTCCGTGGCCAGAGCAAAATCTGTGGGAGCTAGGTCACTGGTATGAGGTGTCTGTGAACCCTTTCAGCTTTGCTCTTTCAGTGACAGATATTAGATGAGAAAGGTTCCTGAGACTCAAGTCATAGCAGCAATCCCTGAAGCAGGAGAATCCTTGCTCCTCCTCCCTCCTTACCTTCTGCATCACAACATACAACAGACATCCTGAGAGGAGGGATGAGCCCATTCCAGGAGAAGGCTGGAAACCAGTGCCTGGCCCAGGGTGAGGTGTGGTGCAGGTTTACCTATGTGTGGCCAAGGCTTCAGCATAGCTGACCTGGTTGGCAGAGCAGACCCACTGGGCATAGCATGTCCTGGAGTGATGTCAGTGGGCCAGTGTCCCAGGGTGATGGCAGTGGGAGGTCCAAAGAGACACACAGACATAAGATGTACTTACACAAAGATACACACACACTCAGATACACATAGTTATACACATAGACATTCATATATACAGAGGTACATACTTAGACACACACAGACACAAGATGTATACACAGACAAGTAGATACATGCAGACACATAGGCACAAATACAGATACACAAACTCAGATACATAATCAGACACAGAGACACACATGCATACCCAGACACATTCAGACACATTCACACATTCACACAGTTATACTCACACACAAACACACATTCTCTCTCTCTCTCTCTCTCTCTCTCTCTCTCTCTCTCACACACACACACACACACACACACACACACACACACACACATCTACATCTTCTATCCATTGTTGCTGGAGTGAACTTCCTAGTACCTGCTCCACATGCCCCTGTTTGGGGCACCTGAGAGGAGAGAGAGAGGTCATTCCTTGATTTAAAAAATATATATGTTAGCTGATTTATTATTGAACTCTTGTTAGTTTGAATAGATTTTTAGTTTGAGTTCCCAAAAAACAAAGGAAATTAATCATATTATAAGGAACATTCCACCTCTTCATAAATAAGGTGTCTTTTATTTATTTTCTTATTATGTTTTCCAAAAGATGCAAATTAATACTAAGTAACAGCAGTTGTCCTTGGTTTGATCTTCAGTGTAATGAGAAAGATTTGAAAGTTTTTCTGTGTCTGAAATAGGCCCTATACTGCCCATAGATATTCTTCATCATGCACAGTATGCCCTACTCCCATATTAATTGCCAAGCATATACATCAAGAATGGATATTCAGTTTCACCAAGGGCTTTTCTGAATTTAGCAAAATCATCAAATGTCTTTCCTCCTTGGACCTTTTAATGTGTTGACTTGTTTAGCTTTTCTGAGCTAAATCATCCTCTTGTTCATGGAAAAAAAATCCCACTGGGGCAGTCTCTATTGTGCTTAAAAATGCTTCTGAGTTCATTTTACTGATATGTTCCTGTTTCTTAGGTTATTTTTCATATATATTCATTGGTAAGAATGTATATGTATTTCCTATTAGGAGACATATTTGTCACATTTATAAATCATGTTATGTTAACTTCATAAAATGAATAGGAAAAATTTTCAATGTGAATTGTGTAGCTGAAATAGTTTGAATATCATATAAAGTTATTTTACTCTCAAAGGCCTGAAATAATTCATTTTTAGGAACTATCTCAGCCACAGCTTGCTTTTCTATTTCCCTGAGGTTTAGTTGGCTGTCAACTTAATTTGTACTGTGGTTATTTTTATTTTTATTTTTTTGGCGTGCGGTGGGGGGGGGGGTTGTTCTAAACATGTTTAGTCTATTTTGATTATTTATGTTTTCTCCCCCCACCCCTTTTC